GGACGTCTTAGTAGTAACCCTAATGTTTTAGATCAATCATCTGAGGCAACAAAATTCGAGGCAACCTTTCTGAGGCAACTTTGATCTTTGGACAAAAGGACGACCACTAAAGCATCCTATACTCAATGACCGTTTACCAAAGACAACCAAGTGGGAGTATACCCTAGGAGTGCGCATGTGCGAGTGATTCAATTTCAGATTATTTATCTTTGCACAATTAGGGTTATCTAACTGTTTTAAAGTTTTACATACATTCTTGTCATGCATCCTAATATCATACATCTAACAGTTTAATATTTTGCGGAATTTAAAGTGCGGAAATTAAACTAAGTTATTACAAGGCTTCGGGTATTTACATAGCCAAAAACAAACCCATAAGTAATAAAGCGATAAATGAAAATAAAAGCCCTAATTAACTATTACAACTTGTGAGCAGTTACAATAATATGGTAAATAATAAAACAATAAAGCGCGCGATGAAATTTAGATCGGGAGAGAACTAGGTTTTTGACCCTTCTAACCTAATTAAAAGAAAAATTGTTTTTGTTGTTTTTTAATAAAAGAATTAATTTTTCTAAATTAAATATGCAATTAATTAGTTAATTAAATTAATTAATGAAAATAATTACATGGCCTATTTTTTGGTTTTTTGTTATTTTTTAAGAAAAATTAAATTAAATTAAATTAGAACAAAACCCTAATTATTCTAATTGATTTTAAATTATTTGCAAAAAGAAATTAAAGTTTACCTAAAATTAAAATCTAATTAAATTAATTATTTTTTGATAAAAAATAAAGTCTAAACCTAATTTGTGAAAAGTATTATTTTTTGTGATTTTTTAATAAAGAAAATAATTGATTGTGTTAGTAAATAAAATAAATGAATTAATTAAAATGAATATAAAGAAGAATAGAGAAAGAAGTTTAGGCTTGAGCAAAATGGGGGGGGGGTGAGGATTAGTTTCTGGGCCCAAAAGATGGAAGTCCACGCTTGACTTTTTGGATCCAATGCATTTGCTTTGACCAAGCGTTTGGTGCTCCTCCATTGGTGGCCCTTGGATTTGGCCATCTGGCCATCTGGCAGGCTGGATGATGAGGGCGTATGATAGGCCTTGGACTTGTAAGAGCATGAGATTACCTAAAAGAAAAAATCATGAAGCAATTTGGGGAACATGGGATTCGAACCCAGGTCCTGAAGCGTTTTGCACATACCCCACTACCATCTGCGTTGGCTGTTCTTTTTTGTATATTAAATATCAATAATAAATAATATGCAAAATAAAGGGAGTTAGTGGATAACAATGAAAACGCGCGCCAGGATTTGAATGGTCCAATAGAAAGGTGCGACACAATCATCTTCTTCCCTTCTCCGTGGGTAAAAGATACGGGGACTTTTACCTACTGACGCATGTCCGTAGCTATAACCCTGGTTCATCTCAAAATCCTCCATGGGCACGATAAATGACTTCTAATTCCATGGTTGGATTCGTCTTGTCATTCTAAACATGATGGTACCCTTCATGAAGACTAATTTTTCCTGTATACAAAAACCCTAAAACGGAAGCAAAAAACCTAACAATGGCAATTATCGATTCAGTCTATGAAAACGCAATTGAGTATTATAGAAAGCTTGCAATTATAATGGTGAACAAGAATCTATGATTATATTATGCTATACATGCCAGAATTGTGCAAACGGAATTCAAGAAAAGGTAGGTATCGTGAATGTATTACAACGAGATATAGGGCCTGAAAACGCTTGTTCTGGAGTGGTTCTGCTTGCTGATGACCTCAGGAAACGGTTGGAATGGTCCAAGGGTCTTGAATCGGCCTCTAAGTAGGAATTCGATTCACCACTTTTTCTTGTTTTTTCCAAGTTTTGTTCTTGATACTGCACCTCTCTCTAGCCTCTCTTTTGGTCTGCACTGGTTCTATATGTATTGAGGAGTGAATTAGGGTTGAAAAACTGGCCTCAATCTTCTTCCATCAATGCCTTTGATCTTGATTTGATACACTTGAATATCTTTCCAAAAATAGTCTTAATCCAATCTTTTTGTGCACACCATGCCTTTACACGAATTTGATCTCATGCTAGCTGGATATTAAGACCTGAAACAAGCACAAGATCTTTGAATTTCAATGTTTTGGATTTTATATGATTTATTTTGATTTAAAATAATTTAATTCAAATAAAAATCAAAATAAATAATAAAAACAAGATAATGACAAGTGGAAAAGGCTAGGGCTCGTGGACCATGTTGCCAACTCAAAACAAGTGCAAAAGATTGGGCCCATTTGGCAAAATTTGAAGTTTTAGGCATAGTTGACTTTTGGCAATTTTGCAAAAAGGGTCAACTTCACCAATGCATAACTTCCTCAATTTTAACTCTTTGAAGGTGTTCTTAGAATTTTTAGAAAGATTGAGATGTCCTATAAGCAACCCTTTTGGTCTCACCTCAATTTGATATTCCATGATCATGTATGAAGCTTTGACAAAAAAGGTGTTTTTGTTGACTTTTCAAAATGACCTATAATGTCCAAATTCATAACTTCTTGTGAGTGCATATTTTGAAATTGGGAGATGAAGATTGATTATAAATCATGGCATCCTCTTCAAAATGAGCTTTTGATGGGTCATTTCTCATAAAGTATGAGAAAGTTATGCTTGGTCAAAGTTGAGTTGACGTTTCCTGCAAAACCCTAATTTAGCAACTTTTGGTTCTTGGTGAATTATGAGCAATCCTTGATTAATCATGATAAACCCTTGATCAAATGATGAAATAAACTTCAAAATGACACTACAAGAAAATTAGTGTTTAACGACACAAAAATTGCGACAGTTATGTGATAACTGTCGTAATTGACATATAGAGACAGTGTTTACGACAATTGACACCAACCGTCCCTAATATTTATTTTGCGATGGTATAATTAACCATCATAATATTATTATTACGACGGTAAAACAACCGTCGGCCCCCATTTAACACTTTTAACATTGATTTTTCACCAACAACTAGTCACGACGGTAAAATTAACCGTCCTAAAAGGCATATCACGACGGTAAAGCACCCGTCGCACCCTTAAACCTTTCACGACAGTAAAATTATATGTCCTAAAATTCATTTCACGACGGTAAAACAACCGTCGCACCCAAAACCTTTAAAAATTCTCATGGGCACGACGGTAAAACACCCGTCGCCGTAAAAAAGTTAAAAAGCTCTTAAAATACATAAAACATCAATTCACTTTCTACTCCTGCGTTCACTTTTTCTACTCACGGTGCCGTTCATGCCGTTCTTCTTCACACCGAAAGAAACCCCTTGACACCGAAAGGAATCTCTTCAAACCGCTCATCTTCACACCAAAAAACGCACAGCAAGCAGTGTAACATCCTCTGCGTTCATCTCTTCAAACACAGCAAGTTTTATGTATCACTTTTTGCATTGTTCTCATCTCTCTCATTCTCTGCCATTGATTTCAGCATTGGAGATTCACTTGAATCTTATGGTTGAGCTCTTTGTGATGATTGATTTTGAGTTTGAATATATTGAATTGATGTTAGGTTTTCAAAATCTCCTTTTCTGCTACTAATCGTTCCGCAAGGGTCTTCATCGCATAAGATTCAATGTCATCAAGATTGGAATCAGCAAGTCACAAACTCGTCATCACAAAGGAGGTAATGAAATCTCATATTTTGATTCTTTCACTCTCAAATGAAAATAATTTTGGGTATTTGAATCACCACTATGACTTCATCACCGTGTTTGATCCCGGGGGTGTTTTGATGTTTCTCACTAATATGCAAGTTAAAGTCTTCGATCATCCTACTGTTTAGATCACAATTTTTGATCCTGTCGGAGCTTTGACATTAGATGATGGAGCTTTAGATCAGTGATGGTGATGGTGTTATTGTAGAGGCTAACGGCGGTGTCTTTTTCCATTAGTGTCAAGGTGTTTGTGAAAATGCGTAGTTGAATATTGGAGTCCAGTAGCACGTTGACGCTGGTGTCTTTTGCCATTGGTATCAAGGTGTTTGTTAAAATTCCTAGTTGAAGATTGGAGTCCCGTAACATCAGTATGTTCGAGAAGGGAATGAGTAGAGAGGATGTTATTGTAAGGATCAACAACAGAGGTTGAAACTTGAGGGGAAAGATAAAAAATGAATTTAGGCTTGGATTTCTCGCCATAATCGACTAAAATATGTTTCGGCAGAAGGGAACCAAGACCAAAACCAGTGCCTCCGCCTACAATATTGAAAACCAGAAAGCCTTGGAGACCAGTATAATTATTTACAAACTTTCTGATACGGCCCAAGCATACATTGACAGTTTCTTTTCCAATGGTATTGTGTCCACGAGCAAAGTTGTTAGCTGCATCCTCTTTTCCGTTAATGAGTTGTTCAGGATGAAGTAGTTGGTGGTTTCTAGTCGACGTTCATGCATGAACAAGATTATTGCTTAGAAATTTCAATTTCAATTCAAGTTTTCTATCATGGATTTAATTAGTGTGGTACATCAAGAAATTCATGTGCAACAATATTACATGTTTAATGAACAAAGCTCTTTGACATTTCTACATATTGGGTTATCCCTGCCATGGTTATGTTTTTGGAGCATCACAATATAGCGGGGAAGCCTTTCATGGTGAAACAATATTGTGAGGGTGAAAAGCAGAAGATTTAAAGCACCTTTATTGTACTGATTTTTTGTATGTTTCCAGGTCCATTGTGTATTTTAGTGATTGCTTCATGTAATTCAAGTTGGTTGTGATTCACATCCCTACCAGCTTTAGGGAGGCTGTTAAAATAGTCCTTTTAGCTAGTTAGTTAGGAATTAGCTAATTGTTAGTTACTCAATTAGGTACACAATTGAGTATATAAATTAGGTCACAATGTACACATTTCATTACCTTTTCAATAAACTTTTCATTATGTTACCAAATGAGTATTCATGTGCTCTCTATATCTCATGTGAGTATGACCTCTATCCTTATCATCCATGGATTCTCAACATTCATTCACACCATTGCCGGATTATCTATTCAAGCCACCAAAGGTAATTGAACCGTTACTTGTTTATACGTTAGTTGCTTGTTTGTTTTGTCTGTTTTTATGATGTTTATAATTTATTGTGATTTGTTCGTTTGTTTGTTTTTCAAATGCTTCAAGGCAGATCTTGTCTATATGTACTCTGTAGCATGATTGTTTCTTTTTTGTACAATTTGTTAATCCGACCATGACCATTTTTGTTGTTGTTTCTAGTGAGTGTGTTATTTTTGAATAAATGCAAACGCCAGGTTAAAGGAAGCCAAGCTTGTATTGCACATTAAATATGAATAGATATATTGCATATTTGCTCCCCTAAGAATATCGATTAGACTCCGCAATTCAAAATAAGTTTGCACCTTCACATTTTGGGCTTGTGCTGCTTGTGCCTCTTGCCCTCGAACACGCTTTTATATTTGTCTTTTGTTGTAGCATATGGATATTTACTAGCTTTTGCTGTATTGGAAGGTAGAAAACATCACATGGTTATTAGTTCTGGTTGGTTATAAATCTGATTATTTGTCACTAATTCACAAACTTCTATTGGCGTTGGAAAAACTAACAGAGAAGCTGTTAGATGACTTTTCATTTCAATTATATTTTGCCTTTCATTTTCTTCTTTCCTCATCAAATCGTATTGTTCTCTTTCATTTTCTTCTTTCCTCAACAGTTGACAGTTAGTTATCCAGTTTAATTTGTTCACAAGTTATAAATGTTGTTTTATTGCCTGTTAATCAATTTTGTAAATATCTTGTACCATGTATTTAGTTAAATAGTCTAAACATGCTAAAGTTATTTTAATACTGCAGGTTGCATTTAGGACTAAGGTATTCCACCCAAACATCAACAGCAATGGAAGCATCTGTCTTGACATTCTAAAAGAACAATGGAGCCCAGCATTGACCATTTCTAAGGTTTGATTTTACTTGTTATTCTTGATAATTGATGATTATGTATCAAGTTTTAGCTAAATGTGACACCTGGATTGTGTTGTGTTGCCTTTTAGAATGATTTGCAAATGTGAAAAATATTGGACAAATGTGTTGTCACGTTTTAAGCTAATTTACTTGCATTTGCAAATATTGGACAAATACAAATTCTGACTATTAAATGTGTTCGCCTACTGAAATTTAGAATCACAAACTTTGCTAATTGTTTGGAAATTCAATTGAAGCATACAGTTTTATCAAGGAATGAGGCTTATTTTCACATATAAAATTTGTCTATCCATGACTTTTTGTACTCTTATCATTTCTATTGTTACTTACTGCTGTAATCTCATTGATGTTTTTATGTGTTTCATACTACTTGTGCTGGTTTTAAATTTTTTTTGGGATTACAACACAGCCAGTGTTTACTGTGCTACCTGGGATGCTAGCCAGCCATTGTCATGGCGTAGCCAATACGGTTGGACTGCCTTTTGTGGACCCGCCGGACCTACAGGCAGAGACTCTTGCGGCAAATGCTTAAGTGTACGACCATTTCTTTCATATCCTAGCATTTTCTTAATGAGTTTATTTGTTGACATGTGCAGGGACTTCATCATTTGTAACTAGTTAGTCCAAGAGAATTGATAATATAGTGGTGATGGATTATGCAGGTGACAAATACAGCAACTGGTGCTCAGGTAACAGTGAGAATAGTGGATCAGTGCTCTAATGGTGGACTGGATTTGGATGTGAATGTCTTCAACCAACTGGATACAAATGGAGCAGGCTACCAGGCGGGTCACCTTACAGTTAACTACGTCTTTGTTAATTGCTAAGCTCAATGAACCACTCTTTGTAATAATAACAAGTTCTAGCACTGCTTCTCATCATAAAACCATAAATAAAACAAAAGGTGTTATACATGCATATGTATGCTTAATTGGATGAAAAATAAATGATCATTCTATACTTAATAATTATAATTTGTAAGTCTATCATTTTTCTCTCTTGCTTTTAGTGCTAAGCTGTTGATATATAAGATAAGACTTGTAACTTACGTAAGTACCCCCTTTTTCTTAGAAATTCGCCTTACATGACCATAACAACTTAAGTAAATAAATTCGCCTTTTTTATTTGGATTTTATTTTTACTAAAATTTTAAATTGTAAGGTAATAAGTGTATATATTGTGGGTCAAAGAAGAGAGAAACTAGTAGAAGCAAAATAAATGAAGAGAAAAAAAAGAGGAAATAGAAATAAGAAAGGTATAGAGAAATTTACTTGGAAAGAAGGACAAAAAATATCTTCATATTATAATTGTTATTATGTTTTTGTTATCGATAACAGACTTGCTAATTTCATTTGTAATAACAAGTGTAAAGGTTACAACGAGCTGGTTTTGATAACTACCGTCGTAATCAACAATTAAAAATAATCAACAAAAGTCATGACAGTATCGAACCGTCGCCATAAATAATTTAATCAATTTCAAAAGATATTCACGACAGTATCGAACCGTCGCCATCAATAATTAAAAGAAACTCAAAAGATAGTCACGACGGTATCAAACAGTCACCAATACTTGATTATGTCAGCTCCAAACCCGTTGTAAACTTGAACGACAGTTTTTGTAACCATCGCGAAATAGGTTGGGGACACACACTTCTGCGACGGTAAAGCAACCGTCGTGGAAAGCAAATAATGACGGTTTTAACCGTCGTAATCTACAAAAATACCTGTCGCAATCTGCCAATTTTCTTGTAGTGTGAGGATGTTGACCAAAAATCTTGAAGTTTGACTGTATGTGGGCCACAGTTGACTTTTTCCCTAGCACAGTCGACTTTCAGGCCTTTGAGCAATTGACTGAGCAAATTTTCTCTGCAAGGCTTGAAACTTGACATGGATGATCTTGAGAACATATTAGGACAATGGTGAGCATTTGGGATCCCTTGGACTCAAGTATATTGATGCAACATGAAACCCTAATTTGAGGTAGACTGTCTTAGGAGAGAGCTTGTCTGGTCAACCCTTGGACTTCCTTGAGCAACTTGAGAATTTTTCTTGAAATGTTTTGAGAAATATGGGAGGGAAAATTTTGGGGTACAACACATGTTTTTAGAAGTTTTCCTGACTTTTAAAACATATTTCCTTCATAAACTCCTTTAAGGCATAAATCATAAAACACCAAAAACATGCTTTCAACTTTCACTCTTTGGTCACAAATCTTTTGCCAAATAAAACTCATTAATTCTCATCCACTTGTGTGCTCATTGTTTGTGTGAATAACATGTTCCCTTAATCTTACTTGGCTCATCTTAAATCCTTGATGGAACTTAAATCAAGATAGACATTATGATTTCAATCCAAGCATGACAATATTAAGTTATATTCCCCACAATTTTAACTTTAGGTATACTTTGCATGAAAACATTAAGATCAAGTCCCCCATTAGAATTTTATTTTTCTTTTTCATTTCATCATTAAGACTAAATTTTTTTCTCAATCTAAAATCTAAAAACACTTAACAATATTCAAAACCTTTTCAAAACTAAATGTATGAAGGTGATGGGTGTCTCCTTGGATGAGGGTCCACTTGTTACCCTTCTTCCTAACAAAAACACCAACCAAATCCAAATCATTTTGCCTTAGGGATTTTTCACTTTAAAATTTTTTCAAAAAGAATATGTTAACTCCATTCTACACAAAACAATGATGCATAGTCTTCAATGATCGAGTGACAACATTAACTGTTAGAATGCGAATTTAACATTATCCATAAAAAACACACAACAAACAAAAACATTTTAAGAAGAACTACGGTGTTCTGATTCCCTAGTGGATATGTAGTCATGGAGTCTCAATGCTCAGGTGAACGCACTAACCAAAACCTTTTATTTTTCTCAATGAATTTATGCATGCATTTCCCTTTAGCAAGTTTTAGATGTACACGCCTATTGAGTAGAATAACAAGAGTGGATCCCGTGGAGTACCACGAACGTGAGGGGTACCAATACCTTCCTCATGCATAATCGACTCCCTTACTGGAGATTTGGTTGTGAGACCATGTTATTTTCTCAATGTCAAAGGTTTTCTCTATATTTTCCTTTCCCTTTCTTTTTTTAGGATAAATAAAATTAGGTGGCGAATCTATTTGTTCCTTCTGAAGTTATTCATTTTTATTTTGAGTGGCTTCCCTTAGTGGCGATAAAAGGACCTTTTGTACCCCAAAACTTGCCATCCCTTTCCTTTAAGATTTTTCTTATAGGGTTTTTCGACTGTTCAAAAGCTTCTTGGGCTTCCAGATATGCCAATGGATTCATCAAAGGTTTAAGTTTGCGGGTCTTTGAAATTTCTCTTGTCCTGTAGTATTGAGCTAGGGTTTTGACTCGTGAAGATGTGATACTTGTTGGGATCAAGGCTCGTGTTTCAATAACTGCGCAATGTTAAGGCCTATATTTGAGTTTGTATCAATTTAAGGGTTTTGATTCATGATGGCGAATATGAAAACTCTTTGATAATACATTGTTTCTTGGTGAAGAAAGTTAATTGGAGTTTGATTAAGAAATTAGGGTTTTGATTTTTCTCTTAATTGGATGAATTTTGGAGTCTTTCATGCAAGGGTTTGTTTAGGTTTTTATGATGCATCATTTCGGGAATTTAGAAGTTCAAGCTGTTAAATCTGGATGTTCATTCTCGTGATGATTCAAACTTTGGTTTTCATCCACCACTCACGGAGGAAGCTTCAATTGCGATTTAATTTCGTGATCTAACAAGTTGTTTTGTTTTGATATTTGCCTTCAAAATACGAGCATTATTCAAATCTCTATGGCCTAAATTCCAGGTTTTTATTGAGGATAGTGCAAGGATACCAAGTTTCTCATGCATAAGATAGAACTCCTGGATTTTTCTTTCAACATTACAAATTGTGTCGTTATTATTTTTCAACATGTCATATTATTCTTTTAAACATATTACATTTGTATTCTTTCAACATTATAACTTACATCACATTATTCTTTCAAATATTACAAATTTGTTCACATTTATTTTATAAAATATCACATTATTTATTTACATCTTTTCTTCTTTTAAACATCCAAATTTCCAAATATTTCAAATGTTCATTATTTAAAATTCCAAATCTATGTACAAATTCAAAACAATTTCAAAATCATTACAAAATTCAATTTCAACTTTCCAAAGCATAAACTATAAATTTTCCTATTTTTTCTATTCTATTACAAAATAAAATATTTCTTCATTTTCAAGTGTCTTCAAACTTCCTCCTTGATCTTCCCATTTTCATCTTGTACATGAAATGAAAAGCAAAAAATTTTAGCAAACATAAACATGGAAATAAGCACAAAATTACAATTTATTTAAACTCTTCATTAAGGTGGTTTATGGAATCAGAAAAAGAGGGATGTTTCGTGTGCTAAAGCCTCAAACGATTGGGTTTTTATCATAGGCCAATTTCTATTGCAAATCACAAAGTTGTTTTGGCTTACAAAACAAGAAAAATGCAAATAGAATTCCTTCACAAATCAGCCCAATAAGCAAAACAAATGTGCAGAGCCCAAACAACTAAAGCCTCATACATGTTGTTTCACAAAAATCATATTATCATCATGTTTCAAACAAGAAGTAACAACTTTCATGTCAAAGAAAATCATATTCCCAAGTCACTGCAAAAAGCAATGTGTTGAGAACTCAGAAAAAGTACAACATCCAACAAGCAAACTAGTACAGCAAGTACCAAAAGCCAACTTTTATCACAAATGAGTAACATTCCATCAAGCAACAAGTACAGCAAAGTTGATTTGTGAACAATCAAGTCAAAACTAAAACATATCAAAGTCAGCATCAATGTTATCACAGAAAACTGAGCAAGGCCAACAAGTATAAAAACCCGCAGCAATACTATTCAAAGGAGAGAATTTTCCCAGCAAAAAAAAACTATACAGAGATACAAAACAAATCGCAGCAACCTATAATAACCCCTTTCAAAAATTTGTTCGAAAAGCAACATATATACATATACAAAACAGAATCGAAACAACAAAAACCCCAACATAATTAGTTTTCATCATCATTTTCCTCAAAAAACACGACCCCTTCAGAAATTCAGCGAGAGGAAGAAGAAAAGGAACAAACTCACTCAGAATCCAACTTGTAAAGAGGCCGAATCACTCTCCTTCTCCTTTCCACTTTTCCTGTTGTTTTCACTGTAAAATCAAACAAACCACAGTTAGATACCCAGAACGAAAAAGAGAAAATGAAACACAACGAGGAAGATGAAGTAGAACACAATCACAAAGCCATGAGAAAGATGAAGAGGACGCATTCATGAAGATGGAACAGAGGCGCAACCTCTCCTGAGGCTAGGGTTTATAAACCCTTTGCCTTGTTTTTGTTTTAATTTTAAGGGGTGGGTCTTCGGTCGACTCGATTTGGCCCAAGCCCACCATATATTTTTATTTCAAAACTTGATGTTTTATTTTTTATATGTTATTAGAATTAAAATAATGACAGGTTGAAGCATCTGGCTCGGTGGTAAGGGGTAAGGCCGTGCAAACACGAGGACAGGGGGTTCGAGTCCCCCCCCCCCCCCCCCCAGGGCCATTTTGTTTCTTTGTAGTATTTTGTTTAATTTCTTTAACATTTGTGTTGCTTTTTGGGATTAAATTTCCTGGGCTCAGCGCCCCATCTCACACACGCACCCCCCCCCCCCCCCCTTACCAGTTAAAACACCACTCAGCCCATGAACCTTTTTTTCTTTGTTTCTAAACAAAGACCATTTTTGGGCCAGACCTAAAACAAACAAAAAACTGTTTTAC